CTGCTGTTGCCTAAAGCTCGTTCCCTGGCGGTTCATTGTTTATATCGGCTAACCGGTTCAACACGTTATACGTGTGAATGCTGATAAGCTATGGTAACTTTACCATCAAAAGCTGAGTTGGGTGAAATGGTGCCCCGGTGGTGTAACTGGTAGGTACGAGTCAGGCTGGGGCGGCAGTTTTGCCCACAACTCAGCATTCTTGTGATTGTCTAATTATTTGAAACTACGAAAAATTAAACCAAAAAGGGCCGGGAAGAAGGTCATCTGACAAAATGTCAAAGGTATATTGTGGGTACCGACAACGAAGCACTTCCTCCACTAACCTGAATCAATCCACATTGCTGAGCCGGTTGCGCCTATGGAATGTTGTATGAAAATGAGTTAACAAACGTACACTTTGTCACTTGCCAGCAATGGCCTTTTTGGTCGATTGCCTGCCTCCAAGTGAGGAATGAGGTTCAAAGGCTCGATATCCTCGAACGGACGCTCTCCCATGGAGTACATCTCGAAAAGAACAATACCATAGGACCATCTGAAATGATGTAATCCCAGCGTCATAGCTACAAGTTCAGAACAGTTGGAGCGCATGGGCGTAGATCCGTTTTCGAGCAATTTAGCAGCATTATGCGGAGAAAGAAGTCTTAAATAGTGGCTCTACCCCTCCTAGTTAATCAGGCTCTAGGCAAAATAGAGGCAACGCGCGGTACTTCTTTGTGTTGCAGTCCATCGACCCTTCAGCTCGGATTTTGCACGCGGCAGTCACTAAATAGCACGTATTCAGAAAGAATCACCTCTGGAACATGAATTGCATACTACCCAGTAGCAAAAATTTCCAAAAATATGTGACCCATGGGAAAAGGCCTTTTAGGAAATCTCGGTACACCCGAGCCAATAAAATTTAGAAAACCATTCCCAAACACTCATGTAGATTCAAGAACTCACACATCACTCTTCACTGAGAACAGCTCTCGCTGTAGACATTCAATCGCAAGCCATTTAATGGGCAAGCGACCGCTGGCTGGCAGCTGCGATCCTCCGTCCAAAGTCAATGAAAGTCCAAAATCGCCGATCTGCAAGTTTCATCAGGTGTGAAATTGACAACTGCCTAATAACACCCAACTCGACTGTAGAAAACAAGGGTAGGGTATGAAGCTCGTAAGCTACTCATAAAGGATAGCGGAGGAAGAATCAGGCAATCTTCAGAATATGATGTGATTCGTGCGATTGTGAATGATTACATAAGGAGGAAAATGAAGGAAGAGAAGGATTCCTTCACTTCAGTTTTCAGCAAAAGAACGAACTGCGATCACAGTTTGGTAACTGAGCTAATAAATAAAGAAAAATAGTGGGAAGTGAGAAGAAGGGTGGCGAAAAAGCACAGATTCACATGTTCGTTAAAAAACTAAAGTTGACCAGGTCTACTTGACGACACTTCTCAAACACATGCGGACGTCAGGCACTTCTTTACGGAGAGAGAAATGTGGGAATGTTAAAGACGGGATTTACGATTGAAAGGGTGCAGACTCATCTGGAGTTTAACCAAGTTGCGTTAGCGATGACGGACATGAAAGAAAAAAAGAACCAAGAAAATTGGTTCAGGAATCCAGTGAAATGAACTTTCCCAATACTAGATCATTGATTTTCATGAGGCCTCCAAGCTACTGTGCCGTTCTCGTCGGTGCTGCGCTCTTCAACGATAACGCTCTCTCTGCTAAGCAGATAGAGGCTCAGTTAGCGAGAGGCGAGCATACAGCGCCAATGGGACCGAGGATATAGGGGGAGGGGAGCATTGCCCTCGATGCGATTCTGTATTCGCGTCAGCACACTATATCGAGTTCAGGGACGGTAGTAAAGTGCCATAGACTGGGAGTTAAAGGTGGTGAACTACGGCCGTAAGCGGTGAATAATGAAAGGCGAGACAGCCAGATGACCCCGCTCTGAATGGCGAGCTTCACTACATTCCTAGCAAAAGTCGCGTCGCCATGGACTTGAACCATGTAGTGCAGCGCCCATGAGCGCGACGTTTGCCACTGCACCACAAAGCATTGCTGTGTTACTTCGAAAGAATTGTAGAAAGCAAGGTAGGATCCTATGAGGGTTGCAAAACATCCAGTATCATGGAGAACTGATCCCGCGAGCGATCCAATGTCAACAAGGAACGAACCCACTGCGCCAATCGACGTGTTTGTAAACCTAGGATCATGGCCTAGATGATTGTACAGTAGTGAAATGCTCCCGGGACCAAGGAAGGAGCTATAACACGATCAATAAGTGGAACACTGCGGGGGACAGCTGATCACCTTATTGGCAGAAAGTTATCAATATTATCGATAGCTCCAGTGGCTTTCTTGCTGCCTCCACTCAACACCTTCCACGTACCCCTTTCTTCCCTGCGCTCTGCGCATGGCAGGGACGGAGAGACGCTCAATGCGACCAATGCATGACGTGCAGAGAAAGGGGGAAGTGCATGGGGATTGAAGAGACGCAGATAGGCGGCGACTAAAATGTACTCAGGGGTACATATTTAGTCGCCCTCTACATGACCCTCTGCGTCTCTGCAATCTCCACGCACTTTCCCTTTCTCTGCCGGGTTCGCCGCCTAGGCTAGGTGCCACCTAATACGTTCGCCACTTAACATGTGGTATAGACCTCGCCCTCTGCGGGAGGTCAGCGTGAATTTCCGCCCTTTCCCCATGCTTTTTTGAGTGCCGACGAAGGCGAGATCAACGTGACCTATTGGCCAGCTATAGACTGGCTATTTAGGGGACTTTACTACCGTCCCAGGTCCGTCTGTCTCTCCCGTAACTAAGTTCCTACTTCTCCCGCCTTCGTCCTTATCGTGGATCCGCCTTCAAAGCAATAACCCCAGATCAAATTGCTGGAGTAAGATCGGTCGATTATGAAATTGTGGACAATCTTCTTCGGAGGTAAGGTTATCGGATGGCTTGGGCTAAGGTACAGGAAAACCGGTTTGAGCTTTAGACAGAATCCAGTAAGTACTGTATTGCTGGAAGCGGAGCGCCATAAGTTGAATTATGTTATCATCTTCCATGTAGTTAGGAACCAGTCGGTTACGATTCATTCTTATCATATTTACTAAGCATTGAAATGGCCAAGCACACAACAACAAGCTTTTGTAGCCTTTTTCGTTCGTTTGAGGTTTTGTAGCTTTGGAGACACCTTGGGAGTCTTGCTGCGGTATTTTAGGATAACGGACTGATAGCTAGGTTGCATGTTTCAAGTATCGAGATGTGCTTCGGGGGGTAGATTTTAAATTTACTAGCAGTAGAAAGGCTAATCTCACGCACCAGGTGGAGCACATAGTTACCCATATGCACCCCCTATTATGCAACTTTCGTTGTGTCCTCATCTCGAGATATAAGGGTGCCAACATTTTATTTTATCCAGAATATTACGGGATTCGTAAGCTGATGGCCCAGAAGTGGAGTAAATATATGACCAACCTTAGCGTTCTTCATTCCATCTATGCCACCGATAAGAATATTCCTAGCTGCTAGGTCTCGATGAATGATGTTCTTCTGCCCTAAGTAGCACTGAAACGTCTTTTGTCAGCTATCCTTTTTTACACTTATTTGAAGAACTAAAGATAGAGGAGAAAGGATGTAAATGAAATAAGTGGGTTAGAAAATTAGCCAATTGTACTAATCCTGTGAGAAGTTCAATTTTTGCCAGTTCAGGTGATGCCAACATGCAAATTGAGGATTTGAAGTGCTACTGTTTACCATCAGATTGATGTACCATACCCCACATGTACCATACATTACGATGTGCCATAAGGTTGGATCACAAAATTAGACTGGAAGTGAAAACATGCAGGTTAGCAAAATTTTTGAAGGCACTATGGAATTCATTGCACTATTCGAACTGTACATCTAGCTCAACGTTGCAAATTCTGCTGCAATGTGAAAAAAGAAAATAGTTTGATATATTTTAAATTTTTACTAGAACATCAATAGCTCACCATTCCTTGTGCAATCTGCCATGCGAAAGTTTAGGAACTCTTTGGTGCACTCGATCTGCTCATCGATTGACTTACTCTGTAAAAGATTAATGAGGGAGAATGGTGGAAAAACTGCGGAAACAATCCTACAATTTCCAACTCCGTCTTTCGTTGCTTCAGATATCGGAGCAAGTCTCGGCTGGCACAGTACTCGATCACCAAGCAGGATTTGTTGGCCGCCGTGATGCAGCCCAGCATGCTGACAATGTTGTCGTGAAAACCGAGGGTTTTCATCTGAACTCGAAAGTTATGGTTCATTCATATGCCTTGTCAAAGATCGAAGAGGTCTATTTTGTGTTGGGCTTGCTGGGGAAAATCTGTCGACCCAGACTGATATTTTCCATGGACAAACATGCCTTCGTACGAGGAAACTCAGAAATGATTACTAGCGATTTCGAAGAAACTAGAAGAGCAGGAGCAACGCAAATCAATTGCAACCTTAGCTCAGCGAGCAACTGAAGCTGAGTAACTGCGATTTCTCCATCTAACAGGGAAGGTCTTTCAGGGATGCCAAGCTTTTTCAAAACGGTCTTTTGCATGATTAAGGGGCACATGAGAAGAACTACAGAACCATGGTTCATTTTTCTTAAACTGGCCCTCTGAATACAAAAAAGGGGGTCCACGATTTCTGGTGGTGGTGACAAATTTCCATTTCGAATTGACGTTTCAAAATTAATTCCATATTCATATTAGGATCGTCAGTAACCCTTACAAATAGACTTTGAATAAGAAAATTGGTAAAAAAGGTGTGTGGCCACCAAACGGCCCCACTGTGGTGTCACACCTTTTTCACCAGTTTTTTGAATCAAAGTCTATTTGTAAGGGTTACTGACGGTCCTAATCATGAATATGGTACTAATTATTCATGCTAACTCCATTTTGCGCGAATTTTGGAAACGTCAACTCGAAATGCAAAAATTTTCACCACGAAGAATTGGTCAAAAGACCCCTTTTCTAGTATTCAGAGGGCCGTTTAGGGAAAATCAATCATAGTTCTGTGGTTCCCGCATGTGCCCCTACATCATGGAAATTACCGTTTTAAGGAAGCGTTATGACACCCTGAAAGATTTCCTGGGTAGAGGTTTTCGCTGTGTTGGGAGGGAAATGTTAAGCCAAACGCAATCCAAAGATGGTTTTTGGAGATGATCCATTACGTCCACTGCTCAGAATGACTGTAGATGGATTTTGCTAGCCAAAGCGTATGCTGGCTTCAATGAATCTACAGTTGACTGGCGCCTACCCACCCCCACCCACCCCCCCTCCGTGTTGAAGACTGGCATCTATAGCTCACTGTGTCCCGACTTGCGGTTTGCACATCAATTGACAAGGCAAAACCTTCAGTTGGAAATGTAACGGCACTTTATCTCTCCTTGGTCGAATTGAAATGCAAGAAGCCGCGACACCGACACATCCTCCTGATGGGCGTCCCCCGCTACATGACTGCATTTCGGGAAAGAGTATGAGAAGTTCTGAAGAATGTCATGCGGGCAAGGGCCATGCTGTAGGGAAAGCTTGTAGAAAATATCCAAGTTCGTTGGCAACCGTTTCAAATAGGAAATGTTGACAATTGTTTGAAAGGATATGGCCATACATTGCTCAAGTTGAGGCTCTTTTCGACCCGTCCGGTTCGAACTAGTCCGCAGCTCTTGTCACGGATATTTATATCCACCCCGGGGGGAAAGTCCATTGCTCAGCGATCATGTAAAACTGCGATCCTCTCCGAATCCTGAATCCAATAGGCGCAGGCGACGCACGCTCTTTCAATCGGAATTGAATTCACGCACTGACATTTGACAGGCGCTGAGCCAACTGCGCATCTCGGGTGCATGAACTTCTGCATACCTAGCGCGGTCCAGCCCACTCGCTACTTCCGTAGCATCTTTGACCGCACATCGCAGTCTCCGGTAGAACTCGCGCTATGTTCATTCTATGTGATGTCGCCAGTATTCCAGGCGACGGGCCCCCCCCCGCGCAATAAGCTTTTCCTGGAACGTATATTGACATATCAGCATGAAATAATGAACTTGTGTCAGGGTACGTGCACTAGAACTGTCGATAGCAACATTTATGTTATAGCCTGGATTCACCTTCCGTGTAGGCCTCGCCCATACCAGCACCATCGATCCCCAACGCTCTCTCTTGATTGCCATACCTGTTTCTCCCCTGTGACCACTTCCCAGTTAGAACCTCGATCGCTGGAAACCTGGAGTGAACGATCTCTGACCCGGCCCTATCGTATGAGATGCACACCCCCTATTTCGCGGCTTCACTGTCGCTGGCTATACTTCGGAAAGTTGTGGGAATCTGCTGCGTGTATTTGAGCGCCCCTCTCATCCAAAGAGACCGAAGGCCCGCACCCGATTAGCCGCTAGATTTTAACGAGGCAAATAAAACGCACTAGCATCCAGTGATAGAAGACCGATAGATTGAGCCGAGCTGACGCCACGTGGTAGGAACGCACCTCCAAGACGTTCATCGTCTTACTAGGTTTACTGGATATGGTGCTGCTTCCCCGAAGCCGGACGGGGTGGCGTAGTCTCACAGGCACTGCGCGTTCAACTGCTCTCTGCTGCTCCCGACCCGCAGCTCACGTTTGGAGTCAGATGGTCCGTCACACACTCATTCGCCGAACGATCTCTCAATATACGTGCGCGATTCCTTACACTCGCTTCCGGGAGTGGGCGGCAGAAACTGAGGTTACGTCGAGTGCCTCTCTCTCAACCCGGATCCACGCCACGAATCTCATTTCTCCCGCGCCGACGGGCTCGAAGCTTGGCGAATTAGCGCAAGAGGATTAATCAGAGCCGCAGTCTACGCTCCCCGATGATGAACGCGCCGCACTCACGCCGCGTGTACATCAACCGTGGGGATCAGGCGTCCTGTGGCCCCGGCCGCTGGGCGCTGTCTCCGCGTGGCATGGAGAACACATCGCGAACAAGTTCATGTTTCTTCTCAGTACGCCAAGCCCCGCCCTCTCTCCGATCTCCCCCTTGCACGGAACAATCGAGAAAAGACACTCGCAAGACCTCTCTCCTCCTACCCCTACTGCTCAACAACATTAAATAAACGGCCCGCCCCCCCCCCGACGCTAGCCCGCCGTCCTGCCCAATTTTGAGTCCTCCAGGAAGAGTGAGAAATTACTTGCTGCCATCAAATAAGCACACCACTCCCTTCACTCACGTGCCACCTCCACGTCGGTTGATCGGGTTCCCCTCGCTGCAGGCCGCGCACCGCCGGCCCACTCGCTCTCACGCTCTCCATGCCACAACCGGCTACTTTGACGAGTAGACTACCACCAGTTCAAGCGATCATCGGAGGATCAGCACGAGCACGCGCGCACAGTTACCGGATGTCGCACGCTCTCGCACTCTCCACCGTGGGCCCCCCCCCCGTTACCCGTGTCTCTAACATTCATCATCAATCTTCCGTAGTGATGGAGGATCGCTGTTCAGTATAGTCATCTGCCGTTCAGAAATTTCACTACGGGAGAGAGCAATTCCTACAAGCGGTGTTTCTTGCTTTAAAATGAATTCAAAATAGTTCATTGCAGAGTTTCGAGGAGAGTGGGCGATTGCATTGCTTCCATAACGAGCTTTGAGAGCCATAGCTCATATGGGAAGCAAATTTCAGATTTTTTGAGTGTGAACATCTGCTAATGCACATCCTTTACTACATAGTAGTGCATTTGAATTCCGTCATACTCAAATTCACATTTGCCATCTAGCCGTATAAGCTTACAGATGGAATCACGAGTAAAGATAAGCGACACTCACTCTTTGCAGGACAAAGGTTGACCATGTCTTTCGGATCGTCACCATAATTTGGATCGGGGATTATATGACTGCGAGGAATTGACGTTTGATTTTGGTAGATCTGAGCGGCTAGCTGAAAGCACTCTGGTCAAATTGAAGATCAACCACGCAATCTCACTTTTGCTCTCCTGCACTTGCGAAGTAGAAGATCTCATAGGATCCCATGGATCGTTACGTAGGCTACAGCAACGTTCGCGTACCCGCCAGGTGGATACTGGCATGGAACGTCGGATACTGCGATAGTCAAGGTGGAGAGATTTTGGCAACCGTGACTGTGCCTCCACGGTTTCTCATTCAGGGCCAGTTGTGAATTGAGTGGGAGTACAACCTTGGTGTAGGCAAATTGTTGGTCGATTATCTGACAGCTTAACTATAAAAAGAACACCACGAAGTTGAGTGAATTAACCAATAGATAGCACCTGTCAGTTGTTCTGACACACAGGTTATATATACAGTTGGAGTACCTAGAGATGTGAGCTTGTTCCTCTTCTCGCTCAATTTGAGGGTTACTGTAAATGGTGAAGAGGCTAACGGAGAGATATGCTTAAGTCATCCTGACAGTGGGCACAACAAGTGGAGGTAAGCAAACCAGCCCTTTTGGCGTTTCTGCTGGGGCCGTATGCTGAATGTTGGGAGAGGAGATGGGGTCCCCGAGCTCGACGGACTACTTGAACTCGGTCGGTACGGTAGGAGAGTGATGACGAAGTGGTGCAGCTAGGTCCAGCAGCTCCGCCAAAGGGGCTGGTTTGCTTAACCCCAGGACAAGGCCCAGAGAGGGCGGACCTGCGCTCTCTCGCAGATTCGTCCTTTCTTTAAGGCTTAGTCTGAGGTTAGGCTCAAGCTTGGGTGGCTTATGAGCGAACCGAATGATGAAAGTAGTACCGTGACCGTAGAGCCGATCCCAGTACCTCCCTCCATCGTTCAACTTTACGGACCCACCGAAACACCAGCTGGTTTCGCTTACTGTCCAACAAGTGTTCTTATAAGCTCCCGTCCAAAATTATGAGAAAAACCCATGTCCATGAGTTCGAATGGAAGTGACTAAAATTCGAAAAGTATTACACGGGTAGAGGGTAAGGAATGGTACTATCAGGTGATGAAGCCGCTGAAAAGTTAACCTTAAGCGGTGCCACCACCGTACAGCTACAGGCCTGAAAGTAAACAATTATGGATGAGAAGGAGAGAGCCGAAGGATCCCTTTCAAGCTTCATAGGCTCAAAGGCGAGACTGGTAAGGCACACCATCTTCTTGGTAGCATGGAGTTCCAGCTCCTGGGCAGAACCATGGAAAGGACCGTAAAAGTGCTGATGAAATGAGGGTGATGAGATTACTGGCTGAATCGGTTCTGAATGAGTACCTCAGGGGGGAGACAGACATTGTTTTGTGGCAAGTTAAGATCTGGTATCAGCGACGTCACGTACGATCTAGAAAATCACGGTGACTGGA